ATATATATATATATATATATATATATATTTCAATTTTTGTTAAATATTTAATAAATTTTATTAATTTGACAGTATTAGATGATGACATGATAATTTAATATATGTGTCAAATTTGTTATGTCAACATGTATAATAAATTGACACAAATATTAAATTATTATGTCACTCCTCATCCTTATTTTCACATGATTTATAAATTATATTATTTAAATTTGTTAAATATTGAATAAAAATGGATGAAAATATTAAAATAACATTCTTTAAGAGGAAAAAAAAAGTTATATATTGACCGTATAAAATAATTTTATATATTGTTATTCAATTACAAATTATCATATTTCATGAGTTTGTTAATTTTTATAATAAATATTTTAAATTTATATTAATAATAAATTTTTAATTGATTGATAATGTAAATATTTTTACATTGATATTATATAATCATTAAATTCGTACGATAATTAATTATAATTTTTAAAAACTAAATTTACAAAATTAAGATATGAAGAACAAATTGTACTATTATAATACTTGATAAATTGAAAGTGCATTAAACTTTTTTCTTTGAAAAGTGTGCCACATTAAAATATGCCCCACAAGGAATATGAATAGGTCAGAAATAAAAATACAGTTTATGGTACTACTTATTGAACTTTTACATTAGAAATATAAAGTATTGGATGCTTTTGATGATGAGGAACAAAAGCTTAAAATATCTATATTATGCATTCAAAAGTAAAATAAGAACTTTAAAAGATAAATAAATTGAACTAGAAAGTCGACATGAATTTTTAAAACCAGTCATTGGTTCGAGAAGTACTAGATTCGGTCTTCTTAAGAAATTTCCATGCTATCAATTTTTTAAAAACTCAAATTACGATAGTTGTATTTAGACATTCTTCTTGTATGGGTAGGGGCGTTTAGCCACCCTCTTATTGGTTACCGAGGGACCGAATCAGGTGATCGATTGCCAATCGGTCACCTGGTTCGGTTTATCTCTATTACGGATCAGAACAGAGATTGTAGCTGAAGCTTGCAAGCAAAGGATGGCTCGTAGGTTTAATTCCAACCTTATTAAAAGGAGTTTCCAGGAGGGCGACTTGGTGTGGAGAGTGCAAGGATCGGCAAGGCGTAATTCGAAAGAAGGTAAGTTGGCGGCTAACTGGGATGGTCCATTTCGGGTACGA